TTTGGATATCGGAAGTGTTCCGGGTGAAATCGGGATTTTACCGGAGTATCGGGAGGTTACCGGAACCCCCTGGGAGGTTAATGGGCCTTAGTGGGCCTTTACGGAGAAGAGGAGAGGCGGCCATGGCTGGGTCGCGCGCCCCTCCCCCCTAGTCCGAATAGGACAAGGAGAGGGGGCGGCGCCCCCCTTCCTTCCTCTCTCCCTCCTCTTTCCCCCCTCCCAAGTCCTAATCCAACTAGGAAAGGGGGGGTCCTACTCCCGGTGGGAGTGGGACTCCTCCCGGCGTGCATTTCCCCTTGGCCGGCCGCACCCCCTTGCTCCTTTATATACAGGGGCAGGGGGGCACCCCATAGACACAAAAATTGATCGTTTGATCTTTTAGCCATGTACGGTGCCCCCTCCACCATAGTCCAGCTTGATAACACTGTAGCGGTGCTTAAGCGAAGCCCTGCGTCGGTAGAACATCATAATCATCACCACGCCGCCGTGCTGACAAAACTCTCCCTCAGCACTCGGCTGGATCGGAGTTCGAGGGACGTCATCAGGTTGAACGTGTGCTGAACTCGGAGGTGCCGTACGTTCGGTACTTGATCGGTCGGATCGTGAAGACGTACGACTACATCAACCGCGTTGTGCTAACGCTTCCGCTTACGGTCTACAAGGGTATGTAGACAACACTCTCCCCTCTCGTTACTATGCATCACCATGATCTTGCATGTGTGTAGGAATTTTTTTGAAATTACTACATTCCCCAACAATCTCAACAGTCTTCGAGGGTAGTATTTCATCCAAATTTATTGATTCAACACAAGGGGAGCCAAAGAATATTTATAAGCCTTAGCAGGTGAGTTGTAAATTCAACCACACCTGAGAAGTTATCTCCTTGCAACAACATATTAGTAGCGCAGTAATATGATAGTTTTGATAGCAGTGGTAACAATAGCAATAGCAATAGTAACAATAGTAGTAGCAGTTTTGTAGTAATTGGAACAATAGCAAAAATAGTGATTCAAGGAAGACAATATTATGATAAAGCGTAGGCATGGAGTAGCGATGGATATTTGGATGACATTCATCATATAATAGTCACAACCTAGAGCGATAAACAATAGCTCCAATTCATCAATCATATGTAGGCATGTATTCCATATATAGTCATACATGCTTGCGATAAGAACTTGCATGTCATCTTTTGTCCTACCCTCCCATGGCAGCGGGGTCCTAATGGAAAACTAATAGTAATGAAGGTGATCCTTTTAATATAGGACTAGAACAAAGCACTAACACATAGTGAATACATGAACTCCTCAAATTATAGTCATCCCAGGAGATTGTCCCAATTATTGTCACCTTGGGGTCTATGGTTCAGAACAATAACAGGTGCATATAACTTGCAGATTGGATCAAGAAGTCAAATATATTCATGAAAATATAATAGGTTCGGATCTAAAACCATGGCACTTGGGCCCTAGTGACAAGAATTAAGCATAGCAAAGCCATAACAACAACAATCTCAGAACACAGTGGATACCAGGGATCAAGCCCTAACAAATTGACTCGATTACCTGAAAAATCTCATCCATCTCCATCTACCTCCAGTATGCCTACGATGAAATTACTCACACCCAGTGGTGAGCATCATGAGGTTGTTTATGAAGAAGGGTTGTTGATGACGACGACGGCGAATTGCTCCATCCGGAGCCCCGGTGGACTCTAGATTAGGCCTCTGATGAAGAACAGAAGGTGGCAGCAACTCTGTATCGTAAAACAAGGTGAAACTTTCTCTCCTATTTTTTTGTTAGGAAGACGAAATATATTGATTTGAAATTAGGTCAGATGGAGGCCGAAGGACCCCACAAGGCACTAGGGCGCGTCCTAGGGGGGGTAGGCTTGCCCCTACCCTTGTGAGAAGGTGGTGCCCCCCTCTAGTAGATGTTTACACCCGTATTTTTATATATATTCAATAAGAAAATCTCCGCCAAGTTTCATCCAATTCCTAGAACTTTTATTTCTGCACAAAAAACAACACCAAGGTAGTTCTGCTAAAAACAACGTTAGTCTGGGTTAGTTCCATTCAAATCATGCAAATTAGAGTCCAAAACAAGAGCAAAAGTGTTGGAAAAGTAGATACATTGGAGACGTATCACACATGCACGTGATGCCATCCACTCCTATCCATGCGCCAGTAACAGAACAGACCCACCCTCCTAGCATCTCTCTAGGAGCCATGACTTGGCTTCCAACGTACGTTGCATGTAACTAACTAACTCTCATGCAGCTAACTACCGTAGGCTACTTGCACGACCAAGGCCATCAACTTCCTCAATAGCCACAATACTCAACCCAAGCACTATGCATGTTTGTACAGGCCATCATGCTCTAGTGTCTACCACGTCTTGCCGCTTCTCATGACCTTTCCGTGTCTCACAACATTGTCGGCATCTCGCTGTGCTCGTCCATCGCACCATAGTCCGACATCTCACCTCCTTTGCACACACAACTGAAGCTTCATTGGCCTACTTACACTTTCCTATACCATCTAAACTACATTCGAACTTCAAACCAAACACACTGTTACAAAATAACAAGATTAGTGCATACCCGATGTTCGGGCGTTATCAGATTCCAATCTTAATTAGTCTCTCGTATTTGCGAATGTTGCATAAGGGGTGTAATCATAAGTGGGTTGTTTGTTCAAGTAAGAACAACACCTTATCATAGGTTCCACCGCAGAACAAGCTATCAAAACAATGAAATGTAACTCAATGAATCTTGATGAAAGTAACTGACGTGGCCTTAGCATATTTAAGGAGTGAGCCACTAGCTGCACCATTGCACTTTTGTTACTATTTACTTTCTTGCAATTGCTCTTGATTTGAAACAAACTATATAGCACCCTTTCTAGCTTCTCAGTGAACTCTTGCTATTTTTCACCAACCAATTCCTTCTACTCCTTGTTGCGTCTGACACTCTCACTTATCGTAAAGGCTATGATAGACCCCATACACTTGTGGGTCATCACCCATCCCCATGTTCAAATCCTGCTGTCACCAACAATCCTCACCTCCCTATTGCACGGATCAGTGCTAGACGTGGAATTTTACCATACGAGAGATGTTCTTGAACAACCACTCTGCTTGACTGATCTAAACCCGAACAATTGCTGTCACCAACACCGACATAATCACTCAACATAGACGCAACAAGATGGTGGGATTTGACCGACCAACAAAGAAAATCACTAAATCAAAAATGCCGCGAAGGAACTTGAGCCCTGAATACCAATTTGTGAGGACCCAGATATGATCGAGCGGAATTTGGGACAAGAAATTGAGTAATCAAGGGAACGAGCTAGGGTTTAAGGCTAGATCGAGAGGGTCGTTATATATTATTATAGCTATAAGGTATCGAGTTCCAACCATTAGGCAATGAGCAACATATGCTCCACACAAACCATAACCCAACATAAATAGGTAGCTCATTACCCACTACAACGATGAAGGTATAAACAGGCATAACTATTGTATAACGGTAAAAGGGATCTGACAGCTCAGTGATGAGACCAGGAGAGGATGCTTATGAGTCGTTGGATCAGATTGAAGCGGTATTGCCAGAAGTGCTACACCTAACAGAAGAAAACATACAACTTCAGGTTTAGTTCTCACCCCTCCACAAGTGATCTAGAGGTGATGAGAGTAGCCACCCCTCTCTTGTTGGCGTCCACTGCTGATTCGTCCCTTCCCAGGTGGCCCTATGAGCCACGGAGGTGCGGCAGACCTCGGTCCATCGCGAGCGGGAGGGTTCCCACATTTTCTTTAGGTAGTTTTTGTGTCATGGTCGGGGTGGCAAGGTGGCGGCATCCTAGAGTAAGAATGATGTCCTTCGCGCCATTTTGTGCTCCGGTCGCGAGCGGGAGGGTGCATGTTGGTGTTTTTCTAGCGGATTTGCTTGGGTCTGTTTAGTGTTAGTCTACATCGTATCCATATGGATTTGGCTAGGGCTCCTGGTGTGTGTTTGTAGGTATGGTCATTTTGATCTCTGTTTTTCTTCATCAACGATATTTGTTGTTGTGGAGAATTGGTTCTTTGGGGTCTAAGCACGTCAACTTCCTGGGTGTCAACGACTAGCTAATTGTCCATGCCTTCCAACGAGACATACATATTCTAGTGGTTCAATATTTGGGGAAGACAAGTAAAATTTGATTTAGTTGATTTGAATGAATGACATGGGAAAGTTGGACACAATCATTGAGGGAGGATGATGACGACCTGCCTTCGACTCGCTCCAATGCTCTGTGTAGTCCACAAACTCGATTGTAATTTTTGTTACTTCTAGGGATCTTTACCAATAAATTGTGGGTGCTCTTATATTTTTTTTACTTGGACTGTGCTTCTTGTATTTGTCATGTCCTCATTTTGTATTCGATAATTTTCACATATATGGTGTCCATTGGGATCTAGGCAGTCCATTTTCCAAACAGTAACCGGAAAAGCCCCGAATGAGCATAAACAAACGTCATGTTGCATTTTCAGTGTCCTCAATAGAATTTGAGAGATAGCAAATGCCCCAAAGTACCAACAGAATTGACGCATGCCTGTATGTATTGGATCTTAGCTGATTTATCAAAAGAATAAACTGAAAACTGAATACAGAGAATGAGCAAGAACTGAAAACTGAATACACAGAATGAGCATGAACTGAAAACTGAATACACAGAATGAGCATGAACTACAATGAGAGCATTGAGTTATTTAGTACAACTTTGAGATATGTTGCACTAACTGAACCAGCAATAACATCAATGTACCACCATGTCCTCAGAAGAACTGGAACCAGCACTACTGTATCCCATCAAAGCCTAAAAAAGAAAGCATAAAAGATAGCATGTCCAAACCAAAAGAATGTGTTGCTTGGTTGGTGTCAGGGAGCGACAACCACACTACTGTATCCCATCAACGTAAACACCCCAAACCCATCCCCATCAACTCATGCAGGCCTGCTTACTCCTCCTCGTCATCGTCGTCGTGGAACCGGAGATGCTTCCCCTCCGGCACCGGCAGGCCCCTCAGCAGCGCGCCGTGCTCTGCCGCCGCGTTCTCCACCTCCTTCCTCTCCACGATCTCGTCGTCGCTGTTGTAGACGAACCGAGTGTGCCTGCCCTCGAACGCCGGCAGCCCGACCTTCTTCTTCTCCTCCGCCTCGAACACCGACATCTTGCTCATCCCCTCGCACAGATCATCAAAGCACTCGCTATCATCATCATCGTCTTCCCAGTCCTCCTCCTCGGTGTAGTACTCTCCTTCCGGCTCTTCCTCGGTATTGTACTCTTCTTCAGGCTCTCCCACGGTGTCAACACCGATCTCCTCCTCTTCCTTCTCCTCGGAGCTGACATTGACCTGGATAGACCAAACCGACGAGCTGTCGTCGTCAGCTGATCTGTCGCTGCTGCTCACGTGGAATGTCAGGGACGATCCATCGGTGGACTGGTCCGATTTCCCTGGGGAGTCGTCGAACACCAGCGCACGGTTGGGCGGGGGATCAGCAATGGCCTGAAACGACAACAGCAGTAGCAACGCAGCTCAAGCCCAGGTGTAACAAAAAGCCGACGGCAGAAATTAGAGGCATCGACATTCACAGCAGGCCAGATGCTGCAAATTGTGCAGATTACTAACGCAGCAAGAGTATGCATCAAAATTTATTAAGTACTGTAGGACACAATAAACATCTTTGGTCTGCCTATCGTTGGGCATCTTTCACAGCAGGCTATGCTACTCAGAAATAAAACACAAGGGATCAGGCTATGCAAAAAATTGGTTAATTTTACAGAATTGCTAGATCATGCGCAGCTCAACAAATGATGATCAATAAGTACAATGCAAGGTTTGATCTTTGAGTTGTTGCACGGAGATAATAACTAAACATACGAGGCAAATCAGAAATTGACAAAATCGATCTTTGAGTTGTTCACGGAGTTAAGACGGAGATCGGTACCTGCAGCTTAGGAATCAGTTCTTCCTGCTCCAGGACGCAGGGCAGCACGGTCCGGCCATCAGGCTGCGCGGACTCCCCACGACCGGCGGACTCGGCCCAGAGCTGGGGCGTGTTGAACGGCGTGGGGGCGAGGAGTTGCGCCGGCGACCTGGTGACGCCGAGCAGCGCGTGGATGCGGACCGGCCTGATGACGGCGGCGGCAGCGCCCTCCTCGTCGACCTTCTGCAGGAGCGTCTTGACCTGGCCGCGCAGCAGCGCCTCGCCAGAGCCGGGCGTGCAGCGGGGCCTGGGGCGGTTCTTGGCGCCAGCGGTGGAGGCCTGTGGCGTCCTGTCGGCGGCGTGGACGAGTCCGCCCGCGGCGAGGCCGACGATGGGGGAGTCGTTGGTGATGTCGTGCAGCGCGGCGCGCGGACCGTCCCCTCCCTTGGGGACGGCCTTCTTGGATCTGCTGCAGGTCACATCCGCGGCGGCGGCGGCGCTCTTCTCTGCAGGGGGAGAATCGAATCCAAGAACTGCGGTCAACACAGGGATTTCCGAGTAGAAGTATCACGACGGGATCCATAGGCGATCTGGGAGGGAGCGAGGGAATTGCGGTCGATCAAGAGGGGGGGACTCACGGGCGGATGCGGCGGCGAGCGAGCGGGTGATCCGCCTGGTGGACAGCGGCGTCTCCATCTCTGGCTGGTTCTTGCGCGCGGAGACGACGAGATGGGGACGCGCTTCACGTCGCTGAGGCGGAGAGACGCGAGGAGAGGGGAAGGCGGCGGCGGCGGTGGCAGCAATCGGGGGTGGGGGAGGAGAGAGATGGGAGGCGGCTTTAAAGGATTTGAACGACGCTCGGAGTCGGGGTTGGGGGAGAGTACAACGGTAATATGACCGTTGTCTCACGCGTCTGGAGAGAACGAGCCGTTGGTTTTGCCGTTGAGGAAGTCGCACGCGCGCTACGTGGGCCTGTAACCTACTACAGGCCCAGCTCGCTTATGGGACCGAGTACGTTTCGTCGTCTACGGACGGAGGTGCATGTTCGTTTGGTAGGGCCACTTTGGACATATGGTCCCACATATCTCACTCTCGCTCTTGAGAGTAGTATAGGTGCATCCGAGGTTGTTTGCACCGACATTCGCCGTGTACCCGCGACATCGAGCGTGATACGCAAGATAGGTGACCAGAGGAGCCTCGTCGGGAGCGCAATGCGCAAGGCACACCGGTGAGGTCATTTGAGGACCCCAAACCTCACAAGTCCGAGAAAGACCCGTCAGGACATGCGGTGGCTATTGGCTACCCTAAGTCGACTTGTCATCCCTATGGCCTCGAGTTCGCTGCCATCGAACACGAAAAACGAGAAAGAAGAACACTAGGGTAAAGAAGAAAAAAGTAAAAAGTGGCAAATCTATTGAGTGATTGTGTGTTGTTTAATAGGCCATCACCTCTCATCTATATATGAGATGAATGAACTTTCCTTACAATAAAAAGACTTGAAATACCGTCCAAAACATCAAATTTACCGTAACTCGGGAGCATAGGTCCGGAGGCTCCAGGTTGCCAAATGTACCAGATAACTCGCTTGTGTTGGTCCTAGAGATCGCATACGACCTTGGACCAAGATGACTCCAACAACAAACTTGTTCTTTACGACGAGACATCTTAAGGTGTATTTACGCGAGCAAAATAGTTCTTTTTTTTCATATCTAGTTTTTCGCACGCATCTTTAAAATGTTTCTGTTGTGTCCGAAGGGTGCCCGGAGACTCCCCAGAGGCTCTGGACCAGCCTGGAGTGTTCGGGGCACTTTCAATGAAGTCCACTGTTTTGACTGGAACTTTTGCATACAATCTCGGATTAAGATGATTCAAAAGCAAAATCGTTTGAATCGATGAGACAAAGAATTTTCATTTTAGATATTCTTCCATTTAAGCCATCTTAATTGCAGTTTTAACCATGGAATATTTTTGTGTCAACAGAGGCACCTCTCAAGTTCAGGCAGAGTGGGGACTGGAGAGGAAGTCAGACCACCAATGTGTACAATTAGCGTGGAGCTAGGTATCCAATTATAGTTGCCTTAAGGACATTTGGCTTAATGTCGTATTGGAATTGTGCCATGGCGCTCATGAGCTGCCCTTGTTGTCCCCTGCCCCTTCGTCCACTGGCCCTCCATGGTGGATGATGGCCGCTAGAGAGCGAACTGATGATGACTCCTGTAATAAGCTCGACGGTTGGTCCCCTGATTTACAGGGAGATCCCCTCTTCTTCCGATCCCCTCACGGCCACCATGGTGGCAGAGATAGTGAAAGAGTGAAGCTGAGCTCCAGATCCATGCGATTGGGTTATGACGACTTAACATTGCCTATGAGGGATGGGTTACACTGCCCACACCGATGTCGTCAATGGCCAACAATGGTCGACTATCAGTCATGAAGACCTCACCTATGTATCCTACGGTCGAGGGGCAGCTTTTCGGAGACATGTCACTCCTCTTATTCCTCCTGGCCTAGATGTCATAAGGAGGCACTCTCCCTCCTTTGACTACAAGCGGAGTGGTGGTCATGGGTATATTCCCGACAATACTACAAGGGTAGGAATGCAGAGGCAATTGTATCTACTGAACAATACAGGTGGGAGTACGCGCAAGGATTTATACAGGTTCGAGACCTCTTCGGTGGAGGTAATACCCTTCTCATGTGATGCTCTTAGCTCTTGCGTAAGGTACAAGACGTGAATGTTCGACCCTCAGCCCAGTGCTCCCCTCCCAACTTATATAGAGTGCACTAGGAGGGGTCACATAATGGTTGGTGTTAATGTGGTCCATGGCCTCAGGTGTGGCCAACTGTTTTCTGGCATTTACTACTAGTAACTGCCATATTTAACTAGATTACTCAATTGTTGGGTAACTACCGCCTTTAAGACATCATGGTTCTGAGGTATCCTTGGTAGCTGCCGACTGCTCCCATCATCTTCTCGGCCGACTACTAGGTCTTGTCTGTCAGGTGACTCGGCATCCGACTTTAGGGACTTATGAAAGAGCACGGTGCCCCCATGTTTGGTTTTGGTAATTGATGACACAATCCCTATGGACTAATGGTTGCCTTGAACTACGTTTGAAGGGTTTGTCCATAGGCTTTGCTTGAAGATCATTTGATGGTCTCAAGGATATAAGTAGAAGATTATGTGTTGACCAAGGTGGTTTTCAAGGATTTATCCAAAGATTGGTCATGTGAGAGTTGAGCTTATTGCAAGCATGTCTTGAAGAATAAGAATTTGTGACTATTCATGTTTACCATCAAGACATCATCTTTATGAAGAGAGAAGGTAACACATAAAGAATAGAAGATGACCGAGTGGGATCAAGTGATCCCATTGTCGGGCCCGTGGAACCGGGGGTACCCAGGCCCGTCTGCCTTTGGCCCGGGGTGCGGTGCATATCCAAGGATTCAACAAGTGGCCCACCAGCAAGCACCATGAGCAAGACCCCTCGTGAGGCCCCTACCTCATGAGGCCCCCATCAGCACACGTCTCGAGACGACCAGGCGGCTCCGCTGAAACCTCGCGAGGCGGCCTCCCGAGGCTGCCTCTTGAGGCTCCATCTCGGGGGCAAGCCGGTTCAGGGTTGTTCAGCCCAGTCCACAGTTTCGCGCCTCACGTGGGTGACGCACGCAACGACGAACGACGCCTAAGGCCGTGCCAGCAGGCGCGGATGCGGAGGCTTTCCAGTTTTGTGATAAGGGAGCAAGGCCAGCCGCTGGTTCCCAAAGAAATCCCCAAAGGTCGTCTGATCCGTGGAAGAAGACCAAGACGTCGGGCGTGCAGGGCGGTGATCATCATTAGGTAGTGGTCCAACAATAAGTAAAATGTCGATACGAGTTCTAAGTTGAAATCTGTATGAAATCAGGATATATTAAAAGGACACGTGGGTTGAACTAGTCGGCAAAATTGTGGAAACATGATGAACTAATCAGAGACAATTGAAGGAATGTTTCATGTGTACTGAATAGACATAAGTTGGATCTACATCTTGTTCAGTCAACAAGGGAGCAGATAGTTATGAATAATCTATAATGGATAAACAAATAAATCAGACATCTCAAGAACAAGAATTGAATAAATATTTGAAACTTATGGTTCTTTTTTGACAGTCTTGTGAAAAAAAGAGGGAGAAGTAATTGTTCTTCAGAACATTGTCATCGTCGCAAAAGCCTCCAAGGTCGTAACAAATTGGGCAGTAGAAAAGTACCAATAGCCAATTTAGTAAGACGTTTTTTGACACTACGCTAGAGTCAAAAAGCGTCTTACATTATGGGACGGAGGAAGTAGAAAACAAGTAGTTGGCCCTGATTTGCACGAGATTAAGAAGGATAGATGGTAATTACCTCCATTTCATGAAGGTCATTGATGTCCATTGGGCTTTTCTTGCCTAGGGCGAGTTGCGAGGGAAAAACGGTCGACCACCGATAGTGGTTGTAGTCCTTGTCGACGGTTGCCACCGTTGACTTCCGGCAACAAGTGAAAGGATCATCTGGTATGAGTCTAAAGAGAGAAACTAACTTATCATGGTCCTTCTCGTCCCTCTCGCGTAGCCTCCCACGCGGGCGGCTCGGGAGGGCTCAGCCACCGCCGCCTAGTTTCCCTCCAGCGCCCTTCTCCCCCTCCGCCGCTGCCGATGGTCGGCGTCGGGCAAAGCACGTGCATGCGACAGTGACGGCAGAGGGTCTCTCCTCCCTCTCCCAGATCAGTGGCGGCACGGGCGTCCTGATCTATGGGGTGCGTCCCTTCGTGGTGTGGCGGATCCCGGAGGTCGCGGGCTCGCGGTGGTGCACGAGCGCCTAGATCCATGGGTGTGGAACTCCCAGCAGCGTGTGGGCTCCCGGCGGTGGCGGGGTCGGTCGACGACGGGCTTGGGCGATGACGTCGGCCGCGTGATGCCGGATCTCGTCGCTTGTGGCGGATCTCGCCACTCCGGACATCGTGGAGGAACCTGGACCTGGGGAGGTGACCTCGTTAGGCATGGGCGACGACGCCCTCTACCAGCGACGTTCGCGGGGGGTGGATGGATGACATCTTGACCGCGTGGGCGGTGAGTTGCTGGTGGATCTCCTCCGTGCTGCAGGCCTTCTCCCGCTGCACTTGGTGTCTTACGATTGCTTTCGTCAGCCACGGTGCGTTCGCAGGGGCTGGTAGAGGTGACATCGGACCGGAGGAAACTCTCGATGACCCGGTCATCCCAACGATGACGACGACCAGGGTCGCCGTTCTCCTACTTGCAGGCGCCGTCGAGGTCTCTGCCCTCTACCCCGACCCCATGCCCGAGTAAAACCCAAAATCTCCTTAGATTGGGCGGCGGCGGCACTGCATGTGTCATACCCTTCTTGGAGGCGCCGCCTAGGGCGTTTGGGTGCTCGTTTAGAGGAACTACAGGCGGAGGGGATGGGACCAGTGGCAGCAGGTGGTCTTCGCGGCGGAGGAGCGGTGTTGCATCTGGCATGTTGACATCGACGAGTCTCAGCGGCATGGAGCATCGGGGTCTCGCCAGTGGGCGTGTGATGATGGACGAGCACGGGATGGTGGCGTTGTCTGGCGTCGTGGTAGCGTCGACGATAGCTAGACCGGGCAAGGTATGTGCAGCAGTACAACACTGAAGATGGATTGGTGGCAGGTGGCTATGGCGGCCTCATACCCGACAGAC